GGTACCTGATGACTGGCAGGGTGTAGGTGTTAATTGCCTGGACTTGGTTCTTTCCATTCAGCTGATTTCTCAGGACTTGCCTTACTCTCTCCACGTACTTGGTGGTTGTAGCTTTCCTTGCGGCCTCTTCATGGCTCCCATTTGCCCATCCCAATGTACTTGTAGCTGTCCTCAACATCTGCTATGTTGCCTTCTGGTAGTACAATCCCCTCAGTTCTGACTACTTTCCCTCTCCTTGTTACCATTCGACCACACTTATCCAGTCCGAATAACATTCCGATGTCCTGGCTGTAGATCATAGTGGTGTGGATCAATGAGTTGATGTCTCATTCACTCCTGGCATACAGCGTGATGTCATCCATGTAGAGGAGGTGGCTGATGGTTGAGGGGGTTCAGCCCTATACAGAACAGCAGCGGGGACAGAGCATCTCCTTGGTAGATACCGCACTTGATGTTGACTTGTGCAATTGGCTTGAAGTTGGCCTCTAGGGTTGTTTTCCACATTCCCATTGAGTTCTTGATGAAGGGTCTTAGAGCCCTGTTGATGTTGTACACTTCCAAGCATTCTAGGATCCATGTGTGAGGCATTGAATCATAGGCTTTCTTGTAGTCAATCCAGGCAGTGCATAGGTTGGTATGCCTGGTCTTGCAGTCTTCTTAAAAAAATATTAGTCTTGTGTTTCATAATGAGGAAATATGTTGTCTAGTGCAGCAGTGTTGTTCCCTGTTGTGTTTTTAATTGGTTTTGAGCAGCAATAGAGCTCTATGGCACAGAAAAATAAGCTTATCCAGGACTGACAGACATTAACAGTGAGTAGAGTCAAGTCATTGTTGGCGTTACTCTCTTTAGGGCGATTATTGAAAATATTGTTAATATAGAAAATTACTGACCTTGTGTTATCTCTTCCATTCTTGAGAATGAAATAGTGCATACTGTATACTTTTTTCTTTCTTTTTCATCATTTACTTAAAATATGTACAAGAGACCTCAAACTTATCAGTCGATTTCCCCTTGACAGAGTGTTGCCTAACGTTCCCCATACACAATAGTTTTCAGTTATTAATGGAGTGTGTGTGCATGCCTTGTATTACTGATTACTGACTCTGTGTGGACCGAAACCTGTTTACACACTCGCAGTATGTGGACTCAGCCATCCTCTTGAGGACTGGATAACGGTCTTCATCATGTAAATCAATTAATTTTAGGGTGACATTTGGTTTAACGTTGGGCTGAAGTTAGGTTTAGGTTGTAGTTAGGGGAGGGATTAAGATTAGAAAGTAGTGGTTATTGTTAAGTTTAGGATAAGTCTCCCAGAAATTAATGTAAGTCAATGTAAAGTTCCCCCAAGGATTAAAAACAAATGTGTGTTTTTGTGCATGTATTGAAAAAGTTTAAAAGCAAATATTGTACAGTCTTAATTGCAGGAAAGATGCATTGTGTGTGGTTGTTACAGACATAGAAAGTTGTTGACCTTTCATGAATGTGACCTTTGACTAAGAGGCATGAACACCACAGAGAAGACACCTTTGAAGGCTACAGCTGGCATGGCACAGTGTGTAATAATCATAGGACCTAACTGTGAGTAATTCAACACATTTTCAATTTTGTATACCCACAACAGCTGGGAGGAATGAGGAGAGACTTTATTAGTCATGATGAACCAACAATTTGCTGTTTATCCTGACAGCAGTACCAGCTCTAATCCAATGCCCGCCTCAACTGAAATAGTGCCACCCACAGCCACTAAAACACACACACAAATGTATGAAAACAGCCTCTCTCTCCTCTCAATCATTAATCACTGACATGTTTGCCTTCCGTTTGCTCTGATTCAGTCTGTTTATTTCAGTGGAATCATTCATCCAAATCAATTCACATGTTGAAGTGTGGCCGCCAAAGGTGCAGACTGAAATATTTTTTGCATCTAATATTTAGGATGGGAGAAGAAGTTTTAGATCAATTAATCAAAGAAATATATATCAGGCCATATGCTTCTCTAGCACAAGTTTATTTGCTTATGTTTGTGCTTATGTGTTTATGACTTAGCCTACCTGTCTGGCAGTGACTACTATACCCCCTGTCTCCTCATAATGGGGTCTCCAAGGATCCACTGGGACCTGTATAGTACGGTCCATACATGTTGCCAACGAGAAATAATATTTGTGTTTAAGAGTTTGAGAATTATGCTCAATTGTACATTAGTATCAGATCATCAATTTAATAAACTTGCTTTTGAGTTAGTACAACATGAATATTGATTCTAATTACTTCAGCAAAGATCCACTGTACACTAACTTAACCTGGTACAAAATGTCAGGCCCAGTGCACACCATGTAAATCTTGGTATGCTGTTTAATCCTCCAGCAAATTTTGAAGCACATCAAAAATATCAACAGAACTGCCTTTAATCAATTCAGAGATTTCTCTGACAATTTCAGACAATTTCTCTGCCTGGCAGATACTAGTGGATAATCAACGTAACTACTGGGATCCTGGCAGAGATCTCTGCAGCTAGGTTGCAGTATAAATGCAAATTACAATACGCATCATATATCTGATGTACAGGTATGTTTATTTTATAGTTACTGAGGGTCTGCAAGTCTCCAGTAATTATGGTACGGTATGTTAAACTTTTGTAGGTTTAACATAAGCAGAAGGTTCAGTAGGATAAGAAAGTCTTATATTGTTTGTTGTACTGTGTTTGTTGTAAAGGGCAATATGATTGCTGAGTGCTCTGATGAGTTTCGCTGAAATGTTAGAATGGGGAAATGCAAAGATGACCCTTACCTGCAGTTAAAGAGAGACATGCACATACAGTATATACACACAAAACTCTCACTAATTGAATCCCTGGTGAGTGTTGTGGATTTTGGTGATCAGTCAACAACTGAGTGCAGATGGAAAACAACCAGAATCTACTCTAACTCTAACTCTCGGGGCAGTCTACTGTACTAAGCATACCCTCCTTCTGGCAATAGCTAACTCATCCTTGAAATGTTGTTATACATGCTACAAGCTGAAGCCTCCTTGTAGCTTTGTTTATAGCATGTACACCCAAATGTTCAGGGACATGAGTGCACTTAAAGTGCCTATATCCTTTCTTTTATCTCCCTGTACACCTTGAAAGATATTTTCTGCCTTACAATTGGGTCAGGATCAGGGAGCGGGGGTCACTGCTAGTCTTTGCTACAGGCAGCAGGAAAGACAGGAACAGACAAAGCTGCCTTCAGGAGGATGCATCAATTGGTCATTCACAGGGGAATGAGTCAGTTCTGGAGAAAAGGATCAAAGCCGTGAGTCAGAAGCCATACATGTGTAGGTGGTCATTTTGAGTGTTCGTTGAGGTCGAACATTCAAGAGGAGAGCATGGCCTGCTGATTGCAGAAAGCTGTTATTCATTTATAAGCTAGAGATGTATCATTTTGGCACTGAAGTCTTTTATTTTTCTTGTACAGTCTTCTGCTCTAAATTCAATGGGACATAGGACTATAGAGCCAGCTATTTTGAAACAGCACTTTATTGCCTTTGGCAAGAAACTTCTGTGATCTGATATCTGCTCCAGATCTGTCCAGAAATTAGCAGCATTAAATGTCTACCTATCAGGTAATCATCTCTAGGATGTCATCAGTTGTCACATCTCCTACATAATATCAAACATACCCCACAATGAAATATTCCAGGACCTTATAAGCTGCCAAACTCATTCTGACACTTCCCTTTCATTAGCATCCCATCTGATGAGCTCATTTCCTCGCCAGCACTATTATCCCACGCCAAGCCTGGAGACAGACACGCATATGCTCCCTAATACACAGGCCCTCACTTTCAACCACTGCTTAGGGAGCTGTTTGATTCATCTATTAATCATTTATGTCAGAGGGGAGATGTTGAAAGTCCAAAAGCTATCGATTGTTTCCATCTTGACAGGAGAAGATTCAGAACTGCTGGGCAATTAAGAGATTTAATTGGTGTCAAAGCAGACAGTGGTTTATGTGTGTGTATGTGTCTGTGCCTGTGGGATGGGCTGGGGAGGTCCACTTAACATCTACACTAAAATGAAATAAGCAACTGAAGAAGCAAGAAGAAGTAAACCAGAAGGGGATGTAAAATGATGTGTAGCAGCAGAGGTTCATCACTTTTATGATTGCCTCATACTCGCATAAAAACATTGTGTATGCATGCACATACACACACTTTCTGTACCCATAAACACCTCAGTATAAACACACTCACTTACATATCCATAATCGCTATATCAGCCTTGTGCTGCCTGCAGAAGCAACAATTGATCTGATGCCAGTAGATACCATTCCTCTCCAGTACTGATGAATCCCCTGTGCATGGAAGAATAGCATCAACATACTGTATAATTCTCTGATTAATTTGTATAACTGTGGAAAAAATTGTACATGCGGCAAAGCTCTCAGTTTAGCAATATATCAACATATCTAATCTCCACCTACAGTTTATGGTTAAGAGCATTTGGCATTGATTAGCAGAATAAGATAACTGATTCAGGAGGCTGGCATGAGTTTCCTTTGCCAGTGTTTTAACATTAGGGTTAGGGTGAGGAGCATGGATATTGGGGGACGAGCCCACAGTAGGAGGGTGGTGATTGAGTATGTACAGTATGTGTATAATAAGTGTGAGAAAGTCAGGCATGCTGCTGTTAGCTTCCCTGGCATCAACTCAACAACAGCTCTGACAAAATCAGCAGCTATAATCCCTGCTAACATCCAATCCCACGGAGCCATGGATTAACGAGTCTAGCTCACTAAGAATATCAGTTGCATTTGAACCAGTCTTTGCGCAGTTATATTTTCATTAAAAATACTGTGATTTTTCACCACATTTGAATCACTGTTAATGCAAAGTTTAAGGTTTTCATGCAACATGCCCTAGGTTGTGACAGACTTCTAAATAAAGACATTGATAGATGACATGATGCATTGTTTTGTTTGGATATTATTTATTTTTCTGAATTTTCTTTTTCCCACAGTTATTCTGGCAGAGTTGTAGGAAATGGTCTGCAAGCACAGAGGCAGAACCCAGAGGTCAAAGTTCGCAACCCAGACCCCTCACTGGCTGAGGTCAAGGAGAGACTGGAGCAGTTCAATCAGGTAGGGTGACCACTGCTCAGCAAAAAGTCATCTCTGTATATACAGATACTTTTGTACCCATTAACACTTATGTGTCTTTGTTTAAACTTTTAGCTCGAATCATTTGTCTGATAATCCATGCATCACACTTAATATCTGAGACCATGCTGAGTGTCAAAGGAGTCACGACTACTTTACATGTCAGAACAAGAAGAAACAGTGTTAATGACTGGCCTCATTGTTTAGTGAACCTATTGTTTTAAACAGACAAAAGGAGTCAGTCATGTTATTAAATGTCAAGAGAGAACACAAATTTCAGAAGCAAATAACGTTGGATATTTCCTGTCTGTAGTTGTGTAAGAAATGGAGATTATCTGAATTTTGGGAGCAGGACTTGACCCGGGCTACACCTCTTTTGTTTTCACAGGATTTAATCTACTCTTAAACCACTTTTTGTTTGGCAAATCGCCAGCTTTGTCTGTTTGCCCCTTTCTGCTCCATTGCTTGATCATCTTCTCCACTGTTTTGGGGGGGGTTTGTGCTGCTGTTCCCTCTCCACCATCTGCGGGGCCTTTCACATTTGTCATGCCGCAGGCCACCTTGTCCTCCTCAGAGGGCTGCGGCTGCCTTGTCAGCTTCCCTCGTTCTTTGGTTTCACGAGGGCTCCTCCAGGCTCTTCCCCGCAACTCTCCTGCTGCTGGCCACTTGCTGCTCCTCTCCTGCCTTTCATTCCATTCCTTCATTTCTTGTTCCCTGGGCACCAGACTGCCTCCTTCTGTTCCATGTTCTTTTCCTTCTTCTCAATTTTGCTGGGCATTAGGCTGCCTTCTAACTCTTCCTCCTTTCCTGATACCGAGATACCATCTTCCCTCTTGCTGTCCTTCACCGGGTGTCCACCTTCCAAAAGATGCCCCCTCCAGGCCCACCAAACAGCCTCGTAGGCTTCCCTAGCACCAAGTCAGCAGAGAGACGCTCCACTTTGGCTCCGCCTACTTCCTCCTTCATCCTCCCGGCAACAACAGTCTTCTTCTCTGTTTAAACCATGGTTAATCACTTCACTGAGTCCGCTCCATCTCTTAGAAAAGTTTGGGGGTCTGCCAATGCCCAAGAGTGACATGGACCTCATTAGCCTCCTCCAAAACCATCAAGCACAATAATGTAATTATCTGAAGCTTGGGAGTGGGACCTGACCCGAGCTACGCCTCTTCCATTTCCACACTATTTAACCCACTCTCAAACCTCTATGCTTCTCCTTCCGCTTTTCGTTACTCACCCATTTCTTCACCCCCCACCCCTTTTTGTTCTCATCTTTTCTCCTCTATTCTTCTATCCCTGCTGGGGGTCTGCCAGTGCCCAAGAGTGACACAGACCTTCTTACCCTTCCGCAAAACCATCAAGCACACAAAAGCAACCAAGTATACACAAGCATTCAGTATCCTGATAGTTCATTCATTTGTGCTTAGTGAAGGCAGGTCCCTGCTGGTGAGCATTTGTTCCTAGTAGAATGCCCTGAAATAGGTCAAAAGTAAGTGATCAACTGAAACATCATGTAACAGCATCTCTAAAGTCTTAATTTTGATTAATTAGTGCTCCTCAAACAATATTACACAAATTCAAAAGAACTGCTGAAATGTCCCTGTTATTTTCTTCAGGTCCAAAGACTTGTTTTGAGAGCAGAGGCAGATATCAAAGGTACTGTAAATGAAAAAGATAGAAGGTGAAAGGGAGACAGTGACAAATTTCAGAGGAAAGCAGAAAAGAAAGCTGCAAGGTGGGAGCAAAAGGTCAGGAATGAGTGACAGATAGGCCGAGATGACACTAGCAGCTTCAAAGTGACGCTGTTTGTCATGTAGATGGGATTTAGGGCTGAAAAGGACCAAAAAGAAAAGGGCCATTTCACACAATCCCTAGAGGCCATTTGAAGAGACAAACAGAGCAGGATTTGATTCCTCTCTGCCTGCCTGCCCTTTTATTGTCCTAAAAATGATGCCCACAGATAGTACATCAGACATACCTCACTTTCTATGTCTACAAACCTCTGTCTTTTTCCTGTTTTCACCTTTTTGGTATCTATTTGATAGCTGATGCTTCCCTGTAATATTACTAAAAAAAAACAAAAAAAAAAACACTTTCTCTGTCTGGTTGTCTTTCACTCTTGCTCTTATCCCACTCTGTCATAATTATTTATTCTTATCTACCAGACAAATCTTCATAGCATCATCATCTCCTTGTTCATTTTCCCTTTCATCTATACATTTTTGCCTGACGTGTTTCTCGCAAATATCTCTTAGCCAGCTTGTCCATCTGTCTGCCACTGACAGCTCAGGATCATTTCTGTCAGACCACAACATCCCATTGTACATAGTGGCTGTCCAGTATCCTGTTGTCATGGTAACTATGCAGAGTTGAGCGGGGGTCCTGTTGACATTTACAAGGTTGAAAAGCATACCTTGAATCTAGACCAGGTGGCAGAGCTTGGCTGAGCTTTGTGTTTGTGCCAGATAAGAGCAAAGGATCACAGAGTGTTAAACTGCATAATGCGGCATGCTTTCTGAGGCACATCCACAATAGTCACAAGTGCTAAAATACATTTTATCACGTGCTCACACATGCATGCATACAGCGAGGTTTTTAACTGAGTAGCTTTTGAAATCAAAATGTCATTTTCTCTTTTTTCTTGTCCTTCTTTGTATTTCCACATTCAGCAAGTTAATTTTTCTTTATACATTATTAAACTGGAATAAAATCATATCATTGGTAAAACCCCTTAATTACAAAGCCATGTGCTGAATAGCATCATACTGCTGACACCTGCCTTGTTGTCTAGTTTCTGAGCAAACAAACAGAATCATCACTTGTCTTCATATATGTCTCTCTTTTAAACCTGACTGAATAGAAGACACCCTCACACATGTTAATGCACTCTGTTAACAGATATAAAATGTTGTCAGTCATACAGTTTAAAATTGCTTGTGCAAACGTGCAAACTACTTTTCTGTGCATAGTTGGGCGAAGCTCAGTTATTGTTGACTTGACCTTAAACAATCATCACTTGAGTCTTGAGGCCAGTGGTGACAGCATGTTGGATTTACAGTAATTTCAAAAGCTGTAAGCAGTGCACAAGCCAAGCTAAATGGCCGAAAGGCCTATAGTGAGTAGCTGTCACTGTGTGGATAAGTGAGAGGTGTAGAAAGCTTGTCTGGCTCTGTCTGTGTTGAACACTTCAGATCTCAGCAGCCATTGAGGTAACAGCAAAGTGCTTTGTGCTGATCAGCAACACCCCTGAGAACTGATAAGTTATGGTTATTCTGTGGAAGCATCCAGTAAAATATCACTGATTAAATCCTTAAATAAATATATTCTTTTAAACATCTGAACTGTTGTTATTAAACAGCAGGGACTCTTCAAATTGTGGCAGCTCCACACTGAGTGACCTTGACACTAACTAAAAGCTAAACAGAAAGCAACACTGTTAAAAAAAAAAACATCTGCTAAGGTGGCTTCCATGGACTACATACAGCATAATCAAACCAATGTGTGCATTACTGTTAAGTATGTCTGTGTTTCTGTAATTTCATCTTTGCAAACACAACTTTGCATTTCAGATGTTCAACATGAGGACTTTTTAGAAAGTTAGAAGTACAATTATGCATCTCTGGGTCTTTTTTCATCCATGGAGCAATTTTGGCTTGTTATCTTCATGAACATATATATACATACTGTATACACAGTACAGACACTCAAATTAAACTGGATGTAAAATGCCTTTTTTTTCAATAACCTCCATTTGCTGGATCAGGGCAGTTGAGATGTGTATGTTTTTACCCACTGGAGAGTACTTACTTAGGAGAGTATTGGAGAGCACTGTTGCACCAAGAGGATTGGGAAACTGCTACTGCATCATACACTCTGACCCCTCATCTACCCATGGCATTGTCCTCTTAAAGCACTCAGAGCCGCATTGATAATGTGTGTGTGTGTGTGTGTGTGTGTATGTATGTAGGTTTGTGCACACAAGCTTGCACATAGACACAGAGTATATGTTTAATGCACACAAATGCATATAACCTGTGATGGACAGGTTGGCAAACTGAAAGATGGAAGAGGAATTATACACACATTTGTAGCAAAATACTGCATCTCCAGTTTGATTAAAGTTTTTAAAACCTGACAATAATGTAGAGACACACACAGGACAAGCCTAATCACTTGATTTCCTATAAAATGGTCTGTTGAGTTAACCAGGTTCTGTTCCTTTCTTCTGTATTTTCTTTGACTTTCCTCTTTCTCCCTCTCTTTCACTCTGCCTATAAATATTGCTAATGTGGACAATACTGTTTCAAAGTGGATTTTTGAGTCCCAGCCATCAATCCAGCTGTTTTTGGGTGGGGATTTTTAAAATGATCTGTCTGTTTTCATGTGAGCTTTTAAGGCCACATCATTTGTCATTTTGTCAATTGCCACTTTGGTAAATGCAAAGTCAGTGGCAATATGCAGTGGAGGGGAAAACACCCAGACTCTCATTCTCTTACTATATTTTGGTCTATTTTTATCTAAGGCACCCATGCAAACATATGGACTCACAAACACAGATGGCATCATTAGAAATGGTTCAAGCTGCAGTGGGCAGAGAGTTGGAAAGAATCCAGTACAAAGAGGCCAGCTTTGACTACTCCTCTGGTTTGGCCAGTGGCCCAGTCAGGTTCCACATGAGAGAGGCCTTTATGTTTAACACACACTCAACACATCCTCTCCACAGGTCCTGTCGATCCAGGAATCTATCAGCTATTGCAGGGACTCAGTTACTCTGTGCGCCTGTTTGTAACGACAGTCTGTAGATGATATTTAGAAAACCATGCAAAAAATCAATTAATAGTTTTATGTTGACTCCTAAAGAATATATGGTTTAGTCACTTGAGTAGCCCAAGGTTGGTTTGCGACTTCACTATGCCTTCACGGTGTATGTTTCATTCAGGCTTTGGCAGTGCCTTAGGCAGTCAGAAAGAGTTGAAAGAGTTAGT